ATTTGAAGTTAATAGGAAGAGGGGTAGAAATTGACTTACAATCTTGCATGCTGAATCGTGATAAGATCTTCTTCAAGTAATTCTTTTGTGAAAGCCAAATCTTCCTATTACTTCTGTCTCGGTGAATTTGCATCCCTAGAATCTTATTTGCTGATCCCAAATCCTTCATTTCAAATTCCCTAGCCAGTTGTGCCTTCAATTCTTCAATATGATCTTTGTTGGGTCCTGCAACCAACATATCATCCACATACAACAACAATATAACAAAATCGTTATCACCAGACCTCTTGAAATAAGCACAAGGGTCTGTATTAAGTCTTTTGTATCCAAGGCACATAATGAAGGAATCAAATCTCTTATACCAACACCTCGGCTCATGCTTTAGACCGTACAGAGATTTGTTCAACCTGCAAACCAAGTTCTTCTTTTCTTTTTCTTCAAAACCTTCAGGCTGGAGCATATAAATCTCTTCTTCAAGATTTCTATAAAGAAAAGATGTTTTAACATCTAGTTGCTCTAGATGTAAGTTCAATGTAGCACACATTGCCAAAACTACTCGAACTGTTGTTAGTCGAACCACAGGAGAAAATATTTCATTGAAATCAATACATTCTTTTTGAGCATATCCTTTGACCATCAGTCTTGCATGATACCTCTCAACTTGATCATCACCATTTCGCTTGATTTTGAAGACCCATTTGTTACCAATTGGCTTCCTTCCTTGTGGTAGTGGCACAAGGTCCCATATATTATTTTTATGAAGGGCTTCGATTTCTTCTTGCATCATCATCCACAGTGAAGCATCTGAGTTGTTTATTGCCTCCTGGTATGTTGATGGCTCACTGTCCTCTGTTAAAAGACAGTATGCAATATTACCTTCTATAACATAATCTGAGTGCCAATTGGGATGTCTTCTCACATGATCTGATTGACGAGTTATTGGAGCTTCAGAACTCTCTGGTTCTTATTCATCATGTGCTGGTTCTACTTCAGAAGAATCTCCTTGTTCAAACTCCTTTTCCACATGTATCTGTGTAGTCTCTGTCTTTTCAGCGCTACCATCTTCTTCTTTTCTTTGTAGCTTATCTTCTACAAAGATAACATACTTGCTAATGATCACTTTGCGGGCAGTGGGATCCCACAAACGATACCCCTTTACACCATCAGCATACCCTAAGAATTTGCATTTCCTGGATTTTAGATCCAACTTTGAAATTTCTTGGGAGTTGTACATCACGTACACAATACTTCCAAATACATGGAGGTTTGAATAATCAGCTGGTTTACCAGTCCACATCTCCATTGGTGTCTTCAGCTCTATTGCAGTTGATGGAGCTCGATTCACCAAATAACAGGCAGTATTGACTGCTTCTGCCCAGAATGATTTTTCTAGGCATGCATCCCTCAACATTGCTCTTGTTCTTTCTAACAAGGTTATGTTCATCCGCTCTGCCACTCCATTTTGTTGAGGAGTGTTCGCCACTGTGAACTGTCTTTTGATGCCTTCTTTCATGCAAAAGTCATCAAATTCTTCGCTTGTGTATTCTCCTCCATTATCTGTTCAGAAACACTTGATCTTATTTTCAGAATCAAGTTCCACCCGCGCTTTGAAGTTTTTGAAAGTTTAAAACACATTTGACTTCTTCTTAATAGGGTACACCCAACATCTTCTGGAGTAGTCATCAATAAATGAGACAAAGTATTTTGCTCCGCCTAGGGATGTAACTGGTGCTTGCCATACATCAGAGTGAACCAAATCTAGAACACTTTTGGCTCTAGAATTTGACATGTTGAATTTCAACCGGTGCTGCTTACTTGTTATGCAATGCTCACACAAAGGAAGTGATATCTTTGTTAAGACTAGAAGTAGCTTTTTCTCCACAAGGACTTTTATTCCTTGTTCTGACATGTGTCCAAGTTTCTGATACCATAGCATTGCAGAATCTGAACTACATGAGCCAACAGAGGCTTCTGCTTCTAACAAAGTTTCTCCCTTCAGCATGTACAAGTTTGCAACTATCTTTTTGCCTTTCAGCACCACAAGCGCTCCACGGAACACCTTCATGATTCCTTTCCGTGTTTCAATCTTACTTGCATTATTATCCAACAATCCGTAGGATAATAAATTTTTCTTTAGGCCTTTCACGTGCCGTACATCTCGAACAACTTTAATTGTTCCATCATACATCTTCAATTTGATGGTTCCCACGCCAACGATCTCTAATGCATGATCATTGCAACTATACACAGATCCTCCTGAGACAGGTTCATAATTATGGAACCATTCTCTTCTTGAGGTCATGTGATATGTTGCTCCCGAATCAATGAGCCATATATCTGCAAATCGTTTTCTTCCTTCCACGGTGGTTGACGCTTCACAGCATAAAGTATCTCCATCATCTGAAGTGTTTGCGGTATTGCCTTGTGGATTGGAGTTTTTATTTAGACTCCAACAATCCTTCTTCAAATGACCATTCTTTCCACAGTTGTAACACTTTAAATTCTTCTTGCTCCTCGACTTCGATCTACCATATTTGTGACTGCTGCTTTGGCCACGTTCTGTTGATCTCCCTCTCATCGTTGTCATCGTTGTCAATGCTTCTGCTTGTTGCAGATTTACTTGTCTGTCTTCCTTGTTCTTGTACCGATTTTCTTCTTGTAGAACAGCAGCTGTAACGTCATCGAAGACTAGACTGGTGGCATTATTATTTGTCAAGTTGATGATGAGTTGATCATACGAATCCGGTAGACTTTGAAGTAGAAGTTCATCACGTTCTTGTTCTCCTATTTTACAGCTTAAGGATGTAAGCTGAGAAAATAACGTGTTCAGTGTATTTAAGTGTTCCGTCATTGAAGTAGATTCTGACATCCGGAGAGTGTACAATTTCCTCTTAAGGAAAATTTTATTGTGCAACGATGTGGCATCGTACAATTTGGTGAGATGATCCCATATCTCCTTAGCAGTCTTCTTCTCCTCGATGCTTGACAATACTTCATCTGCTAATGCTAGATGAAAGTTTGCCATAGCATTCCCATCCATCTCGTTCCATTTGTTGTCATCTGCGAAATCCACCGGCCTTTCATTGATAGCCGCTAGACACCCGTCTTTCCTCAGGATGACCTTCATCTTCAATTTCCACAATGAGAATTTTCTGCCATTGAACTTTTCAATGTCAAATTTTGTTGACATAGCTTCTATTATTGATAGCTCCCACTATTTCACTATCGTGAATAGTTCTCTAGAACCTCAAAGAATGGGTAATACCTTCTTATTTTTTTATGTTGGAGGATCCATCTTTTGGTGGCAACCACAAAGACAATAAGCAGATATTACACACTCAAATCTGGCTCGGATATCAATTGTTGCGGAAGACGGCTATCGGATAGAGCAAAATCGCAACTGATAATTTTTAGAAAATAAAAATGAAGATAAAAGAGACACAAAATTTACGTGGAAAACCCTAAATAATATAGGGTAAAAACCACGGGCAACGGTAGAAGAATTTCACTATGAGAAAATAGGAATTACAACCTCTCTGGATCTACCAAGGAGAAAACAATGATAATTCTCTCTTGATAAAAAGGAGAAAACAACTCTCAAGAAACTCTCTAAATTCTCTCTAGTATTAGAAGAAAGCTAGAATGATTTGGGATGGTTTTGAAGCTAAATGAGCTTGGGTATTTATAGTTGAAGCCTAAAGACTAATTTGTAAATACCCTAAAGTTTAGTGATTAAATGAGTGATTTTACCATGCCAAATTTCAACATTTTTCAGCTACTTTTCGGTGGATTAATTGCACCACCGAAAGCCACCTAAAATTTACAACTTGTTGTTTTGACTTTTCAACAAAATGCAACCATCTTTGAATTAAATCAAAGTAGTTGGCTGCCATTTAGAAGATTAGCCGCCCATGATGACTTTTAACATGTATTACATGTGCTTCACCGCATAGATAATGTAACCCAAATGAATTCTTAATTTCTAATACATTCATTAAAAATGGCTTCTTACATCACTGTGTTCCATTTCCTGCCCGAGAAGATCTTCTAATCTTTTTTTGGAAGGTGTATTTTTATCCTACCGATTTCCTCACTCTTCATAAGAATCAATTAAATTTGTCTACCACATTGACATCTCTTTTCTTCCATTTTTAGGATCACATTGAATATAAAATAAATCTAGAGGTCACATTGATTCTTTTTAAAGAGTTTGAGAATCTCATATATCATTAAACCTATTATTTTATGATTATATTTTATCTGTCCTCGAGATTAAACCAGCCATCTTTTAGTTAATGACTTAATGAAGTTTATGAGGTTGATAGAAAACAAAACGCAACAAATAACAAATACAGTGTTACGAACAGCATATTCTCTCCACTCCAGCTTCTTATCTTGATTCTGCAGCCAACCCATGGCAGCATGCCCACTTAAATTTCCCGACCAATGAACCACTGAGTTTCGACGAATTTCACTAAAAAAACACAAAACCCAGAAAAAAAGAAGCGAAAATACTGTCTTTGGTGGGCTGTTGTTTTTTTCCCCATTTAAAACACGAGCAAAATTTTTCAACCAAAAAAAAGAAGCAAAAGAAGGATTAGAAAAACACACGAGGAAGACAAAGTAAAAGAAGGATTAAAGCGGTCAACAACAAATGGCCAGCTTTTGGCAAATGAAATATTTAGAACGTTTACAAAAATTATATTAGATGTACTGAAAAAGAGAAATTAGATGGATGAAATAAGTATACTCCTAACACTATTAATAATTATATCCGTCCAAAAAACAAGTCTTTCACGTTGTGTTCGGGAAGTCCTAATACTATTGATAAGTATATCCGTCCAAAAAACACGTCTTTCACGTTGTGTTGGGGAAGGCCGAAGGGAAAAAAAAGCATCATTGTCTCTCTTTATTTTATTGTGGACTCTAACACATGCACCAAAAATCCTTTATTCTTTTTATATACTGTATGCTCATGCTACTTCACTTGCCAGTTTTCAAGCTAAAAGGTTTTCATTTTATGCAATTGGTTTCTTCGAAATATACAGGAAAAGAGTCTAGTTCCAACCTAGAAACGATTGAAGGCCAGCCCTTCTCCTCGCATTGTTCAAGTGCAATTCTTTTTCATTTCATTTCTAGCATTGGAATTTTTAGAATTATCAAGGGTGTAGTTGGGATCTTTGTGGTGACTGAAGTGAATTTCTCTTAACACTTCATCATTGCATTGTCTTTCCCAAGTACCCAAAAAAAAAACTGGTATTGGGTCCATCAGAATTTTAAGGAGAAGGGTATAGTTGAAATCTTGAGGAGGATTGAAGTAATTTTTTGCACGAGAAAATGGTGATGCCAAAGGAGGTAGAGCAAGTGATGAAGATGAGAGGGGGATCTGTGTTGGGTAAAAAGACTATCCTCAAGAGCGACCATTTCCCTGGTTGTCAAAACAAGCGTCTGTCTCCTCAGATTGATGGTGCTCCCAATTACCGCCAGGTTCTTTCTCTTTTCTCATTTTAAAACCTTTCTATAGATTTCTGGACACAGTTATAGGTTAATAAGTAAAAGGGTAAAGCAATTCACGTCCTTATTGGGTCCTTGGTGAGTTCTTCATGTTGGATATTGCTTGTACTTACAAATGCAGTGTGGTAATGTGAATATCATAGGTGATTTAAGTTGTAATTGTATTTGTAGGCTGAATTATTGGACTTATTCATATGTCCTCTAGGTATCTTGTATGATGCAAATGCTGCAATGCTTGCATATTGACGTGCCAGTTTGATTGATAACTCCTTTTAACTTGTGGCATGGTCTATTTTGTTAAATTTCATGCTTTTGTTTTCCCAAATCATTTCCTTGTCCTTTTTTTGTCTGATATTAACAGGTAGATTCATTGTGTGTTCATGGTGTTGCCATTCCGACAATTGTTGGAATTCGAAATGTTCTTAAGCACATTGGAGCCGAGAAAAATGGGAAGCAGGCACGTGTTCTTTGGATTAGTCTTCGAGAGGAACCGGTAAATAGATATCTCACTGAATGATTTTTGTTTGTTGATGAGGACATGGACAGGGACGCTGTATTATTTTGGTTGACGTTTATGACACTGATGATTCTGAAAACATTACTATTTTATAAATAAAAAAAATTGAGGATTGCGAGAAAAGTAGAAATCTGATTTAAGTTTCATGACTAGTCATGATGCTGAAGATAAGATAATATGGAAGCAGGGAAGAAGCTGAAAGCTTAAAAGAAAATCATTGCCCTGAAAATAACCAAAAAATGGCAAGCAACAATGACTCAGTTGTACCTGGCTGATCCTGCTTCATCTGGCAAATAGTTTTCTCTTTGCTTCTTACCCCTTCATTTTTCATAGATGCTAGGTTAACTCTTATATTTAAAGGTTGTAGATCATTGTTACTGTTGTCTCAAATCATCTTTTTTTTTTTTTAAATTATGTCAATGAATTAACTTGGAACCATAAGTTCTCTCATCCTTCTGGAAAAATAAAAATAAAATTATGCCAATAAAAATAACATATCTTATTGTTTGCTATAATTTTTTCGATTATAAAATGGAAATATAGTACGTGTATTCCCTATTCATCCAAAACTTTTTAACAGAAACCTTCTTGATTGCATCTTGCGTGTTGTTTTACATGAAGTCATTAACTATTTTAGACTGCTAATTTCACATTTGCTTCTTCTAATTTATATATATATATTTTATTCTTAAATAGGTTGTATATATTAATGGGCACCCCTTTGTTTTGCGTGATGTTGAAAGGCCCTTCTCCAACCTTGAATATACGGTATGGTGGAAACTTTTAGATCATTGCTCTATTTTTGGCATCTGGTTTTTGGCTTTGTCACTGTTTCTTTCATGAACATGAATGGAACCAATAGAGTGTTTCCTTTTTGTAGTGCTGCCATGTATGTTTTAGGAGTTTGTTTTTCTAATATATTATCAACAAGTCATTGTGAAGAGCTTTTAGTTTACTTGTCTCATGTGAGTTAACGGTGCCCAAACTATGAAAAATATATTGTGGCTTCAAATACAGTAGCTACACCAATATCATACAATGTACATGCATGTACTAAAGGCCTGCTGACATATAGCATTTATATTGATTAGGGAATCAATAGGGATAGAGTTGAGCAAATGGAAACTAGATTAAGGGAAGATATTTTGATGGAAGCAGCAAGGTATTTCCATTGGTTCCACATTTTGTTTATTGTGACTTGTAAATGTCATGTTCCTTTGCTACTTTTACCAATGGTTGCCGTGCTACATATGATAGCAAACTTTATTTGGAAATCTGACATAGCAGATATGGAAATAAGATCCTTGTGACTGATGAACTGCCGGATGGTGAGATGGTGGACCAGTGGGTACGAGTATCCTGTAATTCGGTGAAAACACCATTGGAGGTATAAGCTTTGGAAAACAAGAAACCCGACTGATCTGCAAAAAATTTGAATTATCATCTCAAACTCATTTTTCGGTTGTACTTGTACAGGTGTACGAGGAATTGCAACTCGATGGATACCCTGTTGACTATGAGAGAGTGCCTATAACAGATGAAAAGTCACCGGAGGAGCTGGATTTTGATATTCTGGTAAGTTTCATGTATTGGCCTTACTCAGCTTGTTTTGAATCATTAAAATTTAGTTAGCCTTTTGAGTCATCCACCTTCCACTTGTTTCCTACTAATATTCTGCCAGTACTATAATACATGGACAACCAATATTGCTGCGCCAAATTTATGTCTTGATTTTGGTTTGGTAATACTGTTTGACTGCAGCTTTTCTTTAACATTGATGGTGAGAAATTTTTTTGTGAGTTTTTCTCTTGGGTTGATTGATTGGAAATTAGTGGGTACTTTTCTCCATGACTTGTATAGAAACATATGGAGGTTCTATAAAAGGTCTCATATAGCTAAATAAATATCTAGTTCTCAATGAATTTATTAAGATAGTTCTATTAAGAAATAAGTAAATAATTGAGAGAGACTTACCTATTTACATGTTTTGCATGTGCTAGGCATATGGTGACTCAAAATCTTGGTTTTAATTTTAAACTTAAGATCATCATAGAAGTGCCTTTATTTGGTTCTCGAATATCTTTTATATGGAAGCCTGGGTCTGACCATGGAAGTGTTTTTATATTTGATAAAATTCTTTTGTTGCTTAATTTTATTGTTGCTATCTTTTGTTCTGTGCATACGGGTTATTAGGATATGAAGTCAAAGTTGTGGTTTTATGATTTTACTAAATATGGGAGCATTGATCTGAACATTAAACTTTGCTGATAAATATTTTAGTTTCTCTTATTATTATCTCTCCCTTTCTGTTTCCAGGTTAATAAAATTTCTCAAGCTGACATAAGCACAGATGTTATTCTTAATTGTCAAATGGGTCGAGGAAGAACCACAACTGGCATGGTTATTGCAACTTTAGTTTATCTCAACAGAATTGGAGCTTCAGGTACCTTGGTCTCTTTATTTGTGCAATTTTAATGCAAAGCTATAATTTTCCTACTATTTATGTCATCCCTGTCTCAGTATAAAAATCTTTATGTTACGCTATTTGGATATTCAGCTTTTGTTTGCTTGAATTTGCTGTACTCATTAAACTGCTTTACACTGTCTTCTGATAATATTTGACTTATATTTACTTCATCTGTATAGCGTAAATGTTAAGCCCGTCACTGAATTTAATGTAACATTCTATTATCTAATGTTTTTATATTTAATAACATAGGCTTTCCCAGGACCAATTCAATCGGGAGAGTTTTTAGCTCTGGTTCTAATATCACTAACAATCTTCCCAATTCCGAAGAGGCAATTCGTAGAGGAGAATACACGGTCATAAGAAGCCTAATTCGGGTCCTAGAGGTATTTAATACAGCTACATGCTTGGTTGATTCTTCAACAATCTCCTGGGTCTTTTTTTCTTATAAATAGTGTGATATTCCTTTAGGGCGGTGTCGAAGGGAAAAGACAAGTAGACAAGGTCATTGACAAGTGTTCTTCCATGCAGGTATGCTTTTTAAGTATCCCATTTCACTCAGGTTTAGCTTCCAAGTTTCTGTTCTAAACTTAATGCAAATCTGAAATTTTAGATAAAAGTTTTACTGAGAAGACAATTGCCTTAATATATTCCTTGTTATGAGATTTTTTTGTCTTTATCTGCAAGGCTTATTTAGTTTTCTAATATATAAATACAACTCACAAAATTGTTGCTTTAACTCAATAACAGAACCTCAGAGAAGCAATTTCCACTCATCGCAACAACATTCTTCGTCAGCCAGATGAGATGAAGAGGGAAGCATCACTTTCATCTTTTGTGGAGTACTTGGAGAGATATTACTTTCTCATATGCTTTTCTGTATATATTCATTCCGAGAGGGCATCTCTATGTTCTAGTTCCTTTGATTATACCTGTTTTTCTGACTGGATGAAAGCAAGGCCAGAGCTATATAGCATTCTTCATAGGTAAAGATATAAATATAGTATCAGAAGCAGTTTCCTTATTTAATTTCAGGAACATGTGTGAAACCCTTTATGATACTAACCTTACAGAAGCTGTAAATATACAACTAATACAAATATTACTTATTAAATGAAAAATGCCGAGTAGGCACTCTGTTGAACAAACACCTGTTGAATAGAAGCTGCTCTGTTGGTTAAATTTCATATTATTCTAATTCAGCCAATAGATATTGAGTTGATTTGGATTAGCCTGCAACAGGTTGCTTCTCCCCAACCCCCTTTTTTCCTTATTCATTTCTTTCAAAGGAAATGCTTTTGTGAAGAAAGGAATGAAGAACAGTAAATGCACTTTTAGCAACTCAGTATGCCTAGAAATTGGATGAATGTTAAACTTGGCTGCATTGTGAAAGTTTATTTTCTCTTTTCCAATGCAAAGAGAAATTTGTTTTGAAGTTTATTTTTAAAAGAAAAAGGCCCAAATATGGAATTTGAGTTGGCACATGCATTAATTGGTTATCTATCATCTCAGGTTGCTTCGGAGAGATCCTATGGGTGCACTTGGATATGCAAGTCTGAACCCATCTTTGACAATGGTAGTTGAATCTTCTGATGGTTGCCCTCATGAAGTGAGTGTCGTTGCTCTGAGGAATGGAGAGGTTCTCGGGAGCCAGACTGTCTTAAAAAGTGATCACTGTCCTGGTTGTCAAAATGCAAGCTTGCCAGAGAGAATAGGGGGTGCTCCTAATTTCAGGGAGGTCTCTGGATTTCCAGTTTATGGAGTTGCAAATCCAACTATTGATGGAATTCGGTCTGTCATTCAAAGGATTGGCAGCTGCAAAGGTGGTCGTCCTGTTTTTTGGCACAATATGCGGGAAGAACCTGTCATCTACATTAATGGAAATCCATTTGTGCTCCGTGAGGTTGAGAGACCCTATAAAAACATGCTGGAGTACACGGTAAATTATGTTTTCTATTGTTTTATCTGTTATATGCTGGAGTATACATTATTTGTGTAGAAAGAAAAATACATTTCCATGTCGCTAGGCAACATTTTTCTAAAAATTCAGTGGACTCTCGAGGTGCCTTAATAATACTCTGCTATCTTGACTGTTTATTGCAGATTTATCATTCTGTACTCGTATTGAGAAATAGGCTAGGCATGTTATAAACACAGTTAGTCTGAAAATTTCTTAGAAACAAAGGACATGAATGCACACACTTATGAGTTTGTACACATCTGAGATGGTGGAGTCATTCATTTTATTTAATCCAAAAGGCTGTAATAACCATATGGACTATCCTACTACTTTCTAGTGTGCATCAAGAACATGCCGCATAAGGAATTGAAATGGACTATACTCCCAAAATGGGCACATCTGAATTGGATTTTCTAGGAATGTAATCATTTTGATTCTTGGTATGCGCATCAGAAACATGCTGCTTAAGGAACTGAAATGAACTATACTTGTAGAATGGACACATCTGAATTTTGTATTCTAGGAATATAATAATTTGATTGTCAGTAGTTGATTGAAATATTGGCCGTTATACATGAAATAAACATGGTTTCTCAAAAAAGAGTACATGTTTTATTTGTGCTAATTGTTTTTGAGTATTCATTACCTCATCCAATTGTAAAGAAAAGAGCCAATTGTTACTGGAGTCTAAATTGATATATCCACTCAGGGAATTGATCGTGAAAGAGTGGAGAGAATGGAAGCCCGGCTGAAGGAAGACATCCTGCGAGAAGCTAAACGCTATTAGGGTGCTATAATGGTCGTTCATGAGAAAGATGAAGGGCAAATATTTGATGCTTGGGAGCATGTCAACTCTGATTCTATACAAACTTCACTGGAGGTTTTTAAATGCTTAGAGGATGATGGTTTTCCTGTCAGGTATGCACGAGTTCCCATTACAGATGGCAAAGCTCCCAAAAGTTCTGACTTTGATACAGTGGCCGCAAACATTGCTTCTGCTTCCAAGGATACTGCTTTTGTATTCAATTGCCAGGTATTTCATTTTAAAAAATGCTTTAATGCATTATATGGATTTGAGAGGCTTATTAAGTTTCTCTGGTTGCCTCTTTTCCATTCTCTCCTAAATGTTATTGTCCTCTTTCTTTTCATAGATGGGAAGAGGGAGGACAACAACTGGTACTGTATTAGCTTGCCTTGTGAAGGTTCGTATTGATAGTGGGAGACCAATTAAAGTTCTGGTTGAAGAGATGTTCCGTGAAGAGTCAGATGGGAGCTTCTCAAGTGGTGAAGAAAACGGAAGTAATGCCACCAGATTGATCTCTAGCTCTGCTAAAGTAAGAACTAAAAATGAGCAAGACCGTGCATTTGGCATTGATGATATACTACTGTTATGGAAGATAACAAGATTATTTGATAATGGGTTGGAGTGCCGTGAGGCCTTAGACACAATTATTGATAGATGTTCAGCACTACAGAACATACGACAAGCAGTTCTTCGGTACAGGAAGGTATTCAACCAACAACATGTTGAACAAAGAGTGAGGAGACTAGCACTGAATCGTGGAGCTGAGTACTTGGAGCGGTACTTTCATTTAATTGCTTTTGCAGCATATCTTGGTAGTGAAGCATTTGATGGGTTTTGTGGACAAGGAGAATACATGATGACGTTTAAGAATTGGTTGGATCAGAGACCAGAGGTTCAAGCAATGAAAACGAGTATAAGACTAAGGCCTGGACGATTTTTCACTGTCCCTGTAAATCTTTTTTTCTGTCTAGAATCAAGCTAAAGGCTTAATGAATGCTTAGTTTCAAACAATGTTACAGTTTTTACACTTTTTGATCTTTTTTCCTTATAAAAGAGATGCTTTGTAACTAGTTTTAATTTTTTAATGAAGGAGGAGTTGAGAGCATCACTTGAATCCCAGCATGGAGACGCTGTTATGGATGCCATTGTTAAGGTACGCAATGGTTCTGTGTTAGGAAGAGGTTCTGTTCTTAAAATGCACTTCTTTCCTGGTCAGAGAACTTCCAGCCACATCCAAATCAACGGTGCCCCGCATGTGTTTAAGGTATTCTAAAAGAAGTATGACTTTCTTGAATTGTATGCAATGCATAAGTTAAGGCCATCTAATTATTTATTTCATTCTACCTTGGAGTTGGATATATTTAGCATTTGATAGACGTTTTAAAAGTAATATTTTTTGTTATAATGGTGTCCATGAGGTAGGCATTTCTTGTTAAATCTACCTATGTACTGCAGTGAATCATCTTTATATTTACCTTTGCAAGAGTCCATATCAAGTTTACCAGAATGAGAGATGTAATAGCTTACTCAATGTGGTCTGTTATATTGTGCCAAGATTTTTTTAGTTCTATGGTAAATGGAAATATAGTTTTCCTTTTCGTGATCTTTTTCTTGTATTAGATCTTTCAATTTTGGCTTGCATTCAACATACATGGTTAGTTTAGTTCAATCCCTCTTATCCTATAGATCTCGGCATTCCTTGGAAAAACCCTTATATGTCTTCGAACCTATTTGTTCCAGGTGAATGGATACCCTGTTTATAGCATGGCTACTCCAACAATTACTGGTGCCAAAGAAATGCTGGCATACCTTGGTGCCGAGGTCAATGCAGAAGGATATGCTGGTCAAAAAGTGGTGATAACTGATCTGAGAGAAGAGGTGGCTGTGTACATTAATGGCACACCATTTGTATTGAGGGAGTTAAACAATCCTGGTGATACCCTAAAGCATGTTGGAATTACTGGCCCTGTGGTATGTCGTCCATGATGTGGTGTATTGTTTATGGTAAGTTATTTAGCACCAAATACTTAGCTAACTTCTTGCATTGTGACCATGATGCAGGTGGAACACATGGAGGCACGGTTAAAGGAAGATATATTGTCTGAGATTAGACAGTCTGGTGGACGAATGCTTTTGCATCGTGAAGAATACAACCAGTCATCAAATCAGTCAAGTGTTGTGGGATACTGGGAAAACATCTTTGCTGATGATGTGAAGACACCTGCTGAAATATATGCTGCTTTAAAAGAAAAAGGGTATAATATAGTGTATAAGAGGATACCATTAACTAGAGAAAGGGAGGCTTTAGCTTCTGATGTGGATGAAATTCAGATCTGCAAAGATGAGTAAGTATATATAGCTAATTGAAAAACTTTTTTTTTATTGCTTTAGGGAAGCTTTGAGGTAAAGATTTTATTTTAACCAAAAAGAAGGAACTGTAGTCGTGGATGTGTTCTAAAGTGATTCCATTGAATTAAATTATTGTTCTGAAGCTGGAAGGATGTCTTCTGCAGCTCCTCTGGGTGTTTCCTTTATGTATCACATACTGGATTCGGTGGAATCGCCTATGCAATGGCAATTATCTGCTGCAGACTTGGTGCGGAGGTGAACTTTGGGACATCCAGTGCTACACAAGCATTGGCTGATGCACAACTAAATTCTTCATCTGAAGAAAGCATGGCATTTCGGACTTCTGAAGAAGAACCACGAAGGATGGGTGATTACCGTGACATACTAAGCCTTACTAGAGTTCTCATGCATGGTCCAAAAAGCAAATCAGATATTGATATCATTATTGAAAGGTCTATCTCATTTATTTATTTATTAATCCTTTTTTTTTAAGTTCTAAAAGAATTGGAATGAATTTGCCTTTACACTGTTTTGGAACACCAGCAATATGTATAATCAGCTTAGTTATTCAGATAATACAGAAAAACGAATTGTTCAGCTGATCTTTATTATTCTTCTTCTAGACTAAGTTGAACATAACCTCCTGTTGCTTGTTTTATTTTTTATTTCATAGCTTTTAGTTTGTTTTATATTTCTGGGCTGTCAATTTTTTTATCCCAAATCATTTAACCAACTTATTGCATCTTTTTTCACACTTAATGGTGCTGAGTTTCTTCCATTTTGTGCAGGTGTGCTGGTGCAGGGCATTTACGAGATGATATCCTTCATTATAGCAAGGAACTTGAGGCGGTTCCCCATGGTGATGATGAGCACCGAGCATACCTCATGGATATGGGCATTAAGGCTTTAAGGTTAAGTTCTTGCATAGTTGCTTGATCTAAGCATCTCTTTAGTCATTGCTAATTGTATTTGATGGTGCCAAAACTTGCTCCTTTCTCATTCATTTACAGTCACGAGAATCTTAGTATACCATTAATGGTACTACGCCAAGTGTGCGTTTTTACCATCCATAACCTTTGTATTTGTTTTTTCACAGGCGTTACTTTTTCCTCATCACATTCCAGTCTTACCTATACTGCACATCTCCAACTGAGACAAAATTCACATCTTGGATGGACGCAAGGCCTGAACTCGGACATCTCTGTAATAATCTTAGAATTGTATGGTAATTGTCTTCATAATTCAAAATGTATGGATGTACATTACAGGTCTTAATAATGCCTATTCTAGGCTTTCTCCCATAACATTACCCCTCCACTTCTTCACCCCATCAGTTTATGGTTGATCGATAGACATATTCAGATGGTTGGTGATATGGTGATGTGAAATCTGATTACTGGGGCAATGGTGTTCAGAAACCATTTCTTATAATGTAAGGGGTGGCAGGTTAAAAAATCATAGGATCATAAGTTGAAGCCCCTCAAAAGACTAGGGAAGAAGTTTCCAAGTTCTGTGTTGCCGAGATTCATGTACTAGAGTCGGTAGACACACTTGGACACAGGACGACAGTTGTTGAGCTAGAGAAGTTGAAACCCAAACCGAAAACATAGAAATATTTGGTAGTATGTAAGAGTTGTTAAATGTTTATCAGTTTCAAATTATGGAATATGTATTGTTTTGGCTGATAAGGGTAATCTAAACGTCAAATGAAATGTAAGGCTCGTTTTTCTTTTCAAAGTGAAATCGAAAAAAATAAATCTTGGAATAAAATATTCATTAAAAACCCAGATGATGCATATATGAAAGTCAACAATCCGATTTTAACCATAAAACAAATGATGTTGTAGAAGGTATTTATGTCTTGATTTCACCGACATATCTGCCTTGTATTGCTGTAATTTATAGCTCTAATAACCTGAGAGCTGGTCCCAAAATCTGAAAAGATGAAGACAATAGGGAATATATGATGTCTCTCATTGCAACGTACAGGCGAATCAAGCGTTAGAAATGGAGAAAAATTTTAAATATATGTTTTTGGTATAAACAATTACAATACAATCATCAAAACACATTATATTTGAACATTAATCATTATCAAAACAACAATTTTAAATATATATTTTTGGTATAAACAATTACAATACAATCATCAAACGACTAAGACGAGATGAGTTATGTTAGCTAGAGATCGAAGCATCGGCGTATTACTCTCGTTGTAATGTTATTGTTTTAACATTATTATTAAATTGCAGCAAGATGGATGATATTTGTGATTTTAGGTTAACTTTGAGAGAATTCAGTTGTTCCTACCCAATTCTTTAGATTCACCGGCATTATTTACTGAAGATCCATCCATCCTCGAACCTTAACAAACACCATATACAAACATCGGATATCTCTTCTTCACATACAAATGCAGCTTGTGAAGATAAAAAGTCTTTTTCTTGTGTGAGCACTTCCTCGCTCTTAACATTGGTATGAAAAATTCTTGACCTTTACCTGTTCGTTTAAATGTCTATGTCAATCCACCTGATGATTTATTCAACGTGTTTCAGTCGCATAATTTTCTGCATTCTTGGTGCAATCTCTCTTTTATGAAATAAGTATAAGATATAATTGAAGTAGAATATGATGACACCAAATTTACAACTGCTCAATGGCATGGAGCAAAATAGAAATTTATAGAAGTTTGCCTGAGGTTTGAAACTCAAAAGTAGAAGTGCATGTTATCTCCTATGAAAGTTTAGTTTGGCTATACCATAGGTAAAAACAGAAGTAAAGAGAAGAGGAAAAACAAGGAGAGTGTCTATTATGGGTAAATCTTGATGTTTATACCCATGTTGACTATTTAAGAAGGCATTGAGTGATTTTCGCTCTCCAAATGCTACAATTTCTTCTTTAGTATCTCCATATTGTGAAGTAAAGAGGCCTTTCAGAGACCACGAAGTTGGACAAATCCAATAACCCCAAACCCACCATTTAGGAAATTTCTGCTAGAGAATAGCAGATGTGGTATTTCAGATATCTAAAAATATATGAGCGGAAGTATTAAAGGTTGTTATAATGCAAATAAAGAATCGATCTTGGTTGGTAAAGTATTTAAGTAGAAGGTTGCTCTCCTCATTATTAATCTAACCCTTCTTCTATTTACATTTACAGGTGCCCAAGTGAATAATTTTAAGCAATACAAAACATAATTGGCTTACCGGTCCTGAGGTGAGGTATCCTGAGAACAAGCTCAACAATGTGAAATTGAGGCTTGCAAATATTGTAGCTACTTGATAAGATGGAGTCCAAGAAACCATCACCATGCCTAAATATTTGCAATAAAGCAGTGTACAAAACACAGTGTAGAAGTACCAAAATACTTTGTAAGCCGATCCATAGAAGTTTACAGTTGGATAAGTGATTGTCACGAGTAATATTACTTCTAGAAAGATATAAGGGATATCAATAATCAACTGCAAATATGAAGAAAATTTATACCAAGATATGTGACATTCAAAAACGTCATAGTACTTGTGAATGCTTAGAAGGGACATTCTATGAATTCTTTTACCTGTGCCAATGAATATGTCCATGACGAGTATATTCTGGCAAATCTTTCACGGTGGACAATTGTCTGTTGGGTAGCTACAAATGGAAGAACATATGAACAACTGCTTGTTCGGATAGCATGAAGATACACATTGATCCCATTATGTTAAAAAATCTTGTTCGATCATGTCTTCAGAAAGGGGAATAGAATGTCAGCATGTCACACAGTAAGTATATAATCTAACACACTTCAAACAATTACTTTTTTTTTTTTTTAAATTCAGCTTTTCATTATACAATTCTAGTTTGAACTGAAATTCATTTGAAACCTGATTCTTTTATCTTTCCACCAAAAAACTTCCATAACTATGTGCTAACCATTTAATGCATTCTTTTGGAACAGTAGTTGTCAGTGTATGCTTATTGCACTTACTAGCTAACTTGATAATTGATATGAGTCATGACTTGATACCATTTTTTAAATTTGTGTTAATCTGCTAAATTTTATTTTGTATGTCCTAGCTAACTTCTCTTACTCTTGTATGCTCTATCTTCTTTAGATTTTAGCATAGGAGACCAGTTATTAGTACTAGTACCTTTCCCTTGTCTGTTTAGTATTCTATTTATCCAGACAAATAAAGCCAGCAACTTACTTTATGAAGATACATTTTATGTTAACTTTATGGAAAAAATCTTGGTGACGCTTCATAAATGAACATTTCTTCCTATAGCTATGTGATCAAGGAGAAAAAAGAGCTAAAAAGCAACTTACAAGTTCTGTCCTTTTTACCAGAGTAAGGCTCCATATAACAAAGAAGATGAAATTATAAATGCCAAGCGTACTAAGATGTATTTCGGACTTCTCCAATAGGTCAAGTGTTGTTTCCAAAGGCAGCTTTAAGTTGCTCCCATCCGTTCTGTGGAAAAGGTGTTGAAAAATGTAGTTTCTCTGAACCTTGTGCTTGAAGACTTTGGCTTTTGACTATTTCTTTGTTTTCCCTATTGGGAAGGAACATTAAATCACTTGGATTCATAATCAAAAGTCAGGCAAAAAAAACCTTTAAGAGTGTTTATAGCTCCTTGAACTAGAACCAAAAGAAAGCAGTAGCCATATGTGATGTCTTAACCTGGTTACTGGTGAAACAGTGACAACCTAATAGTTTTTAAACACATTTAAGATAATGAACTTACTTGTAGAGATAAAATTCTTTGTACATACGACCGAAGTCTATTCCAAGATGAGCCTCCACAAAAGGACTAGTAACTTCTAACAGCCGTGTTGCTGGGTTATAGTTTTCTTTAGTTTTTTTAGTTAAAACTTCTTTTGACACACCATATTTAAACTATTTATAGGTTTATTTTCTATAATTTGATTTTATATATTTTAATACTTCACATAAAAAATAGATGACATTTAACGCCAAAATTATTAGTTAAATTCACATAAATATCTAATTGAAATATTATCAATAGTTTGAAGATTTAATTTAAACATTTTAAAGTTTAAAAATTAATTTAAAATATAAATCAAAATATAGTGTAATTAGCTCTAAATTAAAAATCTTTATAAAATATAAAAAATAATATTTTATAATTTGTTGAGTTAATCGATTGACGAATATGGCCAAGAGGGGGGTGAATTGATAATAAAAATTTTGGTGGAAGCTTTTGTAGAAAATTGAAAGAAATTTGCACAGCGATTTAGAGTGGTTCGACTTTCTCAACCAAAATCTACGTCCACTACCTTAGCTATCCACACTAAGGATTTTCCACAAATTCACTAATTTGTCTTTCTTTTGAGGACAAAGAGTAACCTTACAAACCCTCAAGAATTATACCCCAAATTCTTGAGAACACTCTCTCCCAAAGAGAACAATACAAATTTGCAAACTTACACGAAAATCCTCACAAGGTAGATTGTTTGCACAATTCTAGAACAAGGAAAAGAACACTAAAAAATGAATACAATTGAGCACAATAAGTGTTCTTGAAAACAAGATGAATATTGAATGAAAAATAGGCTTGAAATGCTCAAACTTGAGGTTTGATGCTTTCTCTTTGATTCTCTCTTGATTCTAGTTGCTTGATATTTCTTATTGTTGATCAATGGCTTCTAAGCTTGCTTTAATACACCTTGAATCACTTCTGAACGTTGGGGATCATTAATGAAGTTATTGTAGTTGTTTAAGTGTGAAAACAATAAATATTTCTGCTTGGAGCGTGGGGGGAATCGGTACCCCTTCATAGGGTATCGGTACCTGTAGTTTAAAATTTAAATATTTCGACCGTTAAATGCCTGAGGGTATCGGTACCTAAGTAGGGGGTATCGATACCTACTAAGGGGTATCGGTACCATCCGAGCATTCTGTTATTTCTCGGAATCAAAATGTTCATAGGGGTATCAGTACCCTATAAGGGGGTATCGGTACCATCCGAGTATTCTGTTATTTCTCGGAACCAAAATATTCATAGGGGTATCGGTACCCTATATGGGGGTATCGATACCATACTAAATAAAACTTATTTTTGGCTCGAATATGGCTCGAAATACTTTGTAGAAATTGTTTCAAAATTGTTTTAAGATTTAAACTTAATTTTACACTTGAGTAAGGATTGAAAAAGACATTTGAAAACTCAGAGTAATATTTTTGATATTCAAAAAAGTTAATCGAATATATATTTTAATTTTCAATATAAAATCTTAAAATTCATTAACACTTAATTTGTTATATCGAAACATCAAAAAGTTTTCAACAATCTCCCCCTT